TCTAAGACCAAATGCTATCATGTCTATCTTTACCTCTTCACTGTGAAAAAGTAAAAGAATATGAGTATGTATAGACTATACACAGCAAACACAGTCATAAGTTAGCATCACACACAGGTAATTGAAAGATCTATAGTTAATGTAGCAAAGGTTTCAAGGCGATGGCAAAAATGGTCAAGAAAACTTAGACCAATGAAAAGCTCAGATTCCTAATATGGCGACCAAGAAATGAGTTGGCGACAATTTAGCAAAAAAGCAACAACATGTTGGCCAGAACACAGCAGATAAGGGTGCAAAATGCAATATTTTGAAAGTACATGAAAAAAAAAAAACAACCCTTGATTAATCTCACACTTGTTGCCAGGTCAAAATCAACAACCTGTAAACAATGAGACCCAATATAAAATAGGGTTAAACTCAAGTTATAATCTAAGAAATAGTCAAAAGTAAAAACCTAAATGATAGAATCGGGAAAAAGCAAGAGCCAGACAAAAATATAGGCAAAATGTAGAGCCTAATGTTGAGCACTAACACACTGGGTACCTTGAGAATCTGGACCCTTGGCCCCTGGTAATTTGTCTTCTGTTTTACCTCCCACTGAGGTTCCTATTGTTGGACGTGGTTCCACGTTTAGTTCTGAGAGCAAAAAAACAGAGGAAAAAAAACAAAAAAAAACAAGGTGAAGCTTCCAATATGTTGCTTTCAGATGATTTTCTTTTTTCTTTTCTAAAAAAATGGTAATATTCTGGCAGCTGGGATGCCAAAGAATTACCGTAAAAAATTAATCAAATTTTAAATTCACTTTATCAGTTATTTAATCTAATTTCAAATGTTCTTGTAAACAGCAAAAAAAAAAAATTTTTTTTGAAATTGCGAGTACATTTTACAGTCACTTCCTGTTATTTTAACTTTTGACAGATAAAATAACAGTCTGTTGGCATTTTCATTTGTGGTTTAAACTTACTGCACACTGGAGTTTCAGTCCAAAATCCAGCAATGCAATAAACATCTGCCGCAGAGTCACCCTGCATTGGAGTGAATCCGTCTTCACATTGGTACGCCACTAGTGAATCACTGGGATACACCTCCTGGTAATCATGACCGACGATGATAGCATGAGGGACCTGAGGGGGGGCATCACATGAATCTGGATCTCCTGGAGAACAAAGAAACATTGTAATTGTGTGTCTAAATACTGACTTCCTAATCTAACAAACTGAACAGGCTCACTCTCACAAACTGGCAAAGTCGACCAGGATCCGTTTTCACATTTGGCAGTTGTCTTGCGGTCCTTGTGTTCGTAGCCTTTTTCACATGTTACCCATATGACATGTCCATTCTCATACCATCTCTGTGGGTCTTTGGGCTGTTCTGAGTTTGGGACTGTTGGTGGAAGGCAGGCTTTTTCATCTGTGAAAAATAAAAAGAAAAAAAAAAACCCCAATGTTCTTTGAATGACAAAGTAAATCAATTAAAAACAAACTTGCAAAGCATGAAAACGAAAAGACAATCTAGTTTCCCTCCTCACCTATACACCGTGGTTCTGGAATCCAAGCATTACCCTGACATCTGCTGGTTGCCCACCATCCCTGCGCTGCTGGTTTATGACCTTCATGACAAGTGTAAGTGATGACTGCTTCAGGAGGATATTCATTCCTTACCGGAAGAAAATATCCGTCAGGAAGTATGGGATCACGACAGTTGTGATCGACTGACTGGGCTGAAAAGTCAAGGATAAAGACAGCGTTAAACATCGATGTGAGGTACAGACACTTTGTTAAAATGAGGAAAAGAGAAGGTTCTCACCAAACGTCAACACCACTCCAAAGACCAAAACCAGAGGAACAAGTCCAACACACTTCAGACTCATTTTGACAGAAGTGAATGAACAGCACACTGAGCCACCGTACTGAGCTCTGCTCCAGGTAATGACTGTGAGGGCATTACTCTGAAGGGCTGTCATATTAAGAAATAGTAAACATGATTCCAAGTTGTGACATTGGTCAGACATAAAAAAAAATAAAATAAAATAAACAACTTCATGGACTTTAGTCAGACTCAAACATTAGCTGTTTACACTGGTTTATGAGCAAAGTTCACAGGATAGTATTGTGTACTGTGGTACCTTTTATTTATTCAGTCATTTGGATTTCTAAAGATGTGGAAAATAACTTTTGGGGGTCACTTTATATTCTAACAATGACTCAATCTCGAGTCCTTGTTGATATAAAGTTTTCAAGCCTTTAATTTGATCAGATGAGGCAAAAAAAAAATCAACTCTTTGTGGAAGACATTTAGCCTAGGACCTAATTCAAGAGTTGACATGGATTTGGATCTATCGAGTTTGACATGTTAGTGAGCTAGAGGACAAACCAGATCATTTTATTTATAAATTAGCTTCTTAGGTTAGCAAACAAGATGGATGGTTTGCTAACTAACTAAGCATTCCAGTTTTCCAGATAGTGTGATTTTGCTATTTACTGTATCCATCCATCTAAACTGGCTAACTGAATTAGCTTCCTAACTCAGTTAGCTGGATCGATAAGATACTGTATGTCATGTGACTAGTGTGTTTCCAGACGTGACTTTAAGACATGCTAACGAAATCAACAAAGAAATCCATAGATTCATTTATGGAGGGAATATTTAGGACAGCAGTGTCTGTGAATGGGTAAAAATACACAGCATACTGTACTGATGTACCCAAACCTGTGTTGATTACTGTATATTAAACATGTACTCAGACAACTTTATACATAAACTTTTTTCGACAGATTTAATGAAGGCTTTACTTCTTCAAGAGCTCTGGTTTAAATATACCAGCGGATCACTGAAGACACATGTCATGTTGTAAACATTTAACGTCATTAGAGAGATTGGGAAAAAAAAATAAAAAAGGTTTTTAAAATGAATCATGAAAAAAAAAAAAAAAATTCCAATCCGAGATCAGTAAAGCTCTGTTCAGGTGATAGGATTCCTCTTCTCCATCTTGACTTTTGTTGTTGGCCAGTCAGAGGGGAGGGATTCATCCAGCAGATGGTTTTCCTTTCAGTAAGGTGTAACATGTGCTTGACAATAATTATGTTGAAAGTACCAGTCGTCACAACCTAAAACAACAACAGCAGCAGCATCAGTGAACAGTCTCATGGATCTACACTCATCCATTAGAAACTAACTGAAATGAAATGAATTTCCAAACGGACTCCATTGCAAAAGGCAAACTCTAATGCTGTGGAAAATATATGTCAAGTGAGAACAAAGCCATTTGGTGGATACTTACAAGAGGTGTAAGTTATTTTCCCATTGTCGCAACGAACAATCCTGTATAAATTACTATAACATCTGATCATCAAACCACGTCTGTCATTTAGCAGAATTTCTTGAAGTATTTCAAGCCCATCATGGTATCGACCGGGTCTAATTTGACAATCTGATCTTGCTGAAAAGTAAAGGAAAGATATGAATACATGTAAATAAAAAACATCAGACTTTTGGATCATATTATTAGAACTTGTACCTTTGCAGGTGGGTAGTTCTGACCACAACCCATTGTTGGAACATACCACAGTGTTTGGACCGTCCAGTGTGTAAGGAGCATGACATTCATATGTTAAAGTCATTTTATCTTGTCCAACATAATAACCATTTTCAATGCTTGGAGGATTCCCACATTCCCTGACTGAAGAAAAGAAAGAAGGTATTTATATATAACAATAAATAATGTATATATAAATATATAAACTTTTTATATGCATATAAATAAATATATATAAAATATATATATACATACATATATATACATACATATATATATATGGAATCATATATATATATATGAAATCATATATATATATATATATATATATATATATACTCGATTACAGTCACTTGAGTTTGAAAACAAGTGTAATATTGAAATCACCTTTGTCTTGATGGAATTTTTACTTTTTTTTTTTATTGAAACGATACTAAATAAACGGTATAAGCTTCACAAATATTAGTGGAAACCACATTAGACCTTGACTGACCAAACATACAAAGGTGTGATCTAAACCTGAGTGAGGGTCATGTTGCCTCAGCACTGGCTCAACACTGGCCTTTTGGCTCTTGGGCCACTTTAGAATATATATTTAGGACATTTTTTAACACCAAAATTATTTTGGTCAATAACCAAAGTGTTAAATGGAACACATCAATACAACAATCCAGGGCAGATCTAAAACATACCTTCAGGTTCTGTCACTTTCCCATCAGCTTCAGGGTCGACCACAGGTCTTTCTTTAAATGGATGAAAAAAAAAAATTCAAAGTTAATATTTTAAAATAAATAATAAGAACCAAGTTTAAAAAAAAAAAAATCATAAGTGAAATTGACTGCACACTTCCTGAGTCAATGAGATACTGAGAAAACGTCGTGTTTAATCTGAAGGCTTTTTCTTACGCGACCCTTCTAACTTCCTACTGCTGACCCATTTCACTGACTGAAGGACATGGTGGAGAACACTGTCTACTTACTGCACACTGGAGTTTCAGACCATGATCCAGCAATGCAAAAAACCTTTGTTGCAGAGTCACTCTGCATTGAAGTGAATCCGTCTTCACATTGGTACGTCACATATGAATCACTGGGATACACCTTTTGGTAATCATGACCGACGATGATAGCATGAGGGACCTGAGGGGGGGCATCACATGAATCTGGATCTCCTGGAGAACAAAGAAACATTTTAATTGTGTGCCTAAATACTGACTTCCTAATCTAACAAACTGAACAGGCTCACTCTCACAAACTGGCAAAGTCGACCAGGATCCGTTTTCACATTTGGCAGTTGTCTTGCGGTCCTTGTGTTCGTAGCCTTTTTCACATGTTACCCATATGACATGTCCATTCTCATACCATCTCTGTGGGTCTTTGGGCTGTTCTGAGTTTGGGACTGTTGGTGGAAGGCAGGCGTTTTCATCTGTGAAAAATAAAAATAAAAAAAAAACCCCAATGTTCTTTGAATAACACAGTAAATCAATTAAAAACAAACTTGCAAAGCATGAAAACGAAAAGACAATCTAGTTTCCCTCCTCACCTATACACCGTGGTTCTGGAATCCAAGCATTACCCTGACATCTGCTGGTTGCCCACCATCCCTGCGCTGCTGGTTTATGGCCTCTTTCACAAGCGTAAGTGATGACTGCTTGAGCAGAAGCTTCACTCTCCAGCGGAAGAAAATATCCGTCAGGAAGTATGGGATCACGACAGTTGTGATCGACTGACTGGGCTGAAAAGTCAAGGATAAAGACAGCGTTAAACATCGATGTGAGGTACAGACACTTTGTTAAAATGAGGAAAAGAGAAGGTTCTCACCAAACGTCAACACCACTCCAAAGACCAAAACCAGAGGAACAAGTCCAACACACTTCAGACTCATTTTGACAGAAGTGAATGAACAGCACACTGAGCCACCGTACTGAGCTCTGCTCCAGGTAATGACTGTGAGGGCATTACTCTGAAGGGCTGTCATATTAAGAAATAGTAAACATGATTCCAAGTTGTGGCATTGGTCAGACTCTAACATAAAAAAAAAAAAAACAACAACAACAAAATAAACAACTTCATGGACTTTAGTCAGACTCAAACATTAGCTGTTTACACTGGTTTATGAGCAAAGTTCACAGGATAGTATTGTGTACTGTTCTCACATGAATTTGCCAGACGCACAGGGTCAGGGAATGACGAACATAATCAAATGTAAGCTGAATGTATAAAATTTTTTTTTTTTTAATTTCTTCCTCTTGATTAAAATCTTTCAAGCCTTTAATTTGATCAGATGAGGCAAAACCTTTTGTGTAAGACATTTAGCCCAGGACTGAAAAAGGGAAACGGTGATTGTAACCCACGGAATGTTTACTTTGCAGAGTACACATGTTCAGAGATCAATATTTTTGAAATGGCAAACATAATAATAAGTGTTTAATTTGGGCAGATTAGGCAACATTGCAAACAAAAAAAAACTGTCTGGAGTTTTGATGAAAGAAACAAAAAAGGATAATTATCTAAAAAGACCTAATTCAAGAGGATTTGGATCTATTGAGTTTGGCATGTTAGTGAGCTAGAGGACAAACCAGATAACTATCTTTATAAATGAGCTTCTTCGGTTAGCAAACAAGATGGATGGTTTGCCAACTAGCACTGTATCCATCCATCTAAACTGGCTAACTGAATTAGCTTCCTAACTCAGTTAGCTGGATCGATAAGATACTGTATGTCATGTGACTAGTGTGTTTCCAGACGTGACTTTAAGACATGCTAACGAAATCAACAAAGAAATCCATAGATTCATTTATGGAGGGAATATTTAGGACAGCAGTGTCTGTGAATGGGTAAAAATACACAGCATACTGTACTGATGTACCCAAACCTGTGTTGATTACTGTATATTAAACATGTACTCAGACAACTTTATACATAATTTTTTTTTTCAATTGAAAAAATATATAAACTTTTTTTAAAAATTAATCCTGAAATAAATAAAATCCGAGATCAGTAAAGCTCTGTTCAGGTGATAGGATTCCTCTTGTCCATCTTGACTTTTGTTGTTGGCCAGTCAGTCTTATTAAGCTGTAAATGGTGCTGGACAACGATTCTGTCATGAAATAAACAAATGCAGTGAAACCATATAACAAATAAAGGAAACAAAAGTATTTAGGCATGAACAGGACTCATGATTTACCAAGAGAAAAGCTAAACGTACCTGTTGAAAGTACCAGTCGTCACAACCTAAAACAACAACAGCAGCAGCAGCATCAGTGAACAGTCTCATGGATCTACACTCATCCATTAGAAACTAACTGAAATGAAATGAATTTCCAAACGGACTCCATTGCAAAAGGCAAACTCTAATGCTGTGGAAAATATATGTCAAGTGAGAACAAAGCCATTTGGTGGATACTTACAAGAGGTGTAAATCATTTTCCCCGAACAATCCCGTAACTGTCCGTACCACATCGGAGATGATCTTGGAACCTGTCTTTTAGTGAAAATACTTGCGTTAGTTCAAGCCCATTATCGTATTGACCAGGTCTAATTTGACAATGTGTAGAAACTAGAGCTGGAAACAAAGTTACATTCTAGTCAAAAACAACATTTTCTGAAACCAAGGCTCTGAAATTAGATCAGACTTTTACTCCAAATTTTACTGTGGCTGAGGAAAAAAAAGAAGAAGAAAAAAACCCCCCCAAACAATTACTTTTTTATTTTTATGTCATAATGATTATACAGTAATTCACTTGAGAAACTAAAATTGAAAGCTTACCTATACAGTTGGGTTCATGCCACCGTTAGACATCTGATTGTTGCCCACCAAGCCTGTGCAACTGGTTTATATGACGTATGACAAGCACAGGAAAGACTGCTTCCGTCGGTGTATGTGGTCTTATCAGGGGAAGGGGAAAAAAAAAACAAAAAAAAAAACAGCATCTAGCCTCGGTGCATATCAGTGGGTCCGTTGGGCTGAAACAAACAAAGACAAATGTGACAACAACCTTAAGACCCAATCACAAAATCTATTTCTATTACTTAAAGATGTGTCCTTACCGTCCAGGTGTCCTGGAAGCCAGACGAGAAGGAAATGTCGCAAATAATTTATCCTTTCCTTTTGTCAGTACAAAAAATAATGCCGGTACAGTTAATTATTGACAAGGACATTTATCCAAACATTGAGAGAATACACAGTCAATATTTCCTGTAACACCGACTCCCACAAGATGCTGTCACTGTGGAGCCAACAGCAGAAATCCTGAGAGATACATATATATATGCATATATATATACATATATATATATATATGCATATATACATATATATGCATAGCTATACGCATATATACATATATATGCATATATATACACACATATATACATATATATGCATATATATACACACATATATACATATATATGCATATATATACACACATATATACATATATATGCATATATATACACACATATATACATATATATGCATATATATACACACATATATACATATATATGCATATATATGCACACATATATATACATATATACACATATATGCATATATATACACACATATATATATACATATATACGTGTATATATATAAAAATTTAAACATGTGACTTTGACATCAAATGGAGACAAACTCACATTAAAACCCAAATCATATCAATGTCATTCTTCCCGTAAAATACGCAGTATCTGTTTGCAGATTTCGAAAAACAATCGACTGCCGTGGGGGGGGGGTCAGTGTCGCAACATCCCAAACAGCCATTGCAAAGGTCAAACTTTTCAAACACCGAATAGGTAATTCGGCCCAAAACAGATTTATTCTAACTTATAACTGCGTCCTGGGGGCTATTGATTATCATGCCAAATACATATTTTTACATGGTTCATATGCACCTATATGTACATACATGCAAGATGTAAACAGATGTGTATAAGGTGTAGGGGGGGTGGGCTGGATCAGATTTTTTGATCCCTTTGTCAACCCAATATAGCTTAAGGAAGAAAAAAAAAATCCAACAGTGAGATCGAAAACAGGTGTTTTTATTCTAACAGTCAGATAGAAATTCGATTGTAGCGTTGTATGTCCTCCACCGCTTTTTTCCCCCTCCTGTTTACCTTCTGTTTCGGTGTGTGATGTATTTTCAGTTTTATTGTAAGAATCCCATATAAGCCGCTGGTGCATTCAGTGCTCAAAGAGTCGGTTTGGGTCAACAGGTCACTGAGAGCTTCGCAAGACAAAAAAAAATAATTTACAAGCATGTTTTTCTGAGACTTTATTGTCTCTTTTCATGTGATCACCTAAAGCAATACGAGCATGATCGTCTCTCCTCTCTCACAGGACACCAACAGAGAAGAAGAAGAAAAACAACATGTTAACGATACTTTTGCATTATGACAAGAAAGGGAAAAAAAAAAAAGGGTTCTGGTCGGTCGAAAAGACCACGCGGAGACCCCGGGATTTGTCTCGATATTGCAAGCAGAATTTCTCTGCACCCGACATCGCCCGTCTCATCTTCGTCTGTGAAGAGGAGTTCAGTCTCTCGCAGGTTTTAATCACTACCACCCGAAATTTCAAAAAACACAAACACCCTAAATTATGTGGGGGAAAAAAAAGGAAGTAAGAATAAAGTCTCATGTTGTCAAAGTTTTCTGATCTACTTGTTTCAGATTTTTATCCCCGGTCTTATTTCGTTCCATGGCCTTTTTACAATGAACATATTTGGTGTTTCTGGTTTGGAATTACATGAAAGCATGAAATTAATTTTTTCTCCGTGGTTTCCAGAAGCAGGAAATCGAGATCTTTGCATTAGAAGATCCTGGAGGACAGATAGTAAAAAGAGCACAGAGGAACCTGTCTCAGTCCTGTCGAAAACTGGGATTGGAGTTCACGACAAGACGGCAGTGTGGTCGAGAGGTGACGCTTAAACCAGAGCGGAAGGTTGGAGAAGTGAGTCGGGGAACTTGCTCCGCACCGGGTTCAGAACCTGAGGAGAGGTTTGTGTTTCACCATGTACCTGAAAAAAAAAAAAAGAAGAGAAGTGCTGTAAAGTTCTACAGAAATAACATTTTGTAGACAACAGAAACACACACACAAACCTGTCGAGAGTTTCCCAAAAGCGCAGAAACACAGGTCTGTCCAGATGACGCCTATGGTGACTGAGCTCCAGGACGGTCACGTCCCACTTCTGCACGTTGGGATCCATCTTTGCCTCGTCGTATTTGAGATGAAAGGCTCGAACTGGGGGAAAGAAGAAGCGCGTCCCGTGAAACGAAGATGTTTGAGTAATAAAAAAATAGAGTAATGTAAAAGATTTTTTTTTTAAAAAAAAAAGAATCTTAAAAGAGAACAGTCTCGCTCACTGCTAACAGTTAAGCGTGCTGACACTGACACAGAACATTTAGTTCCGACCGGTGTTTGTTGACTACTCACATGTCTGGTCGTGATTCGTGAAACTCCTTTAAGGGTTCTATTTAACGATTTGTTAGTGAAACGGACGAAGTTGCTCACTTTTGGCGAAAATGTCAACAGGAGATCCGTCAGGCAGCAGCCACGGCCAGCCTTTGAACTGCCACGCAGGTCCTTGAACAAAGACGGCCACAACTCGATCCCTGTGGGAAACGTACATCGTGTTGTGAACGGACAGAAAGTGAGAGTTAAATATTTAACATGTGAAACATGCGACGCCGACAGTCCAGCAGTTCGGCCAGCTCGTCTCTACAAGGCTGAAAATAAATACTGAACAAACTGTCAAACAGTTCAGAGTGACGATTTGAAGATCAGTTTGTCGTGTGTTTTTTTGCGTATCAGTAACGACTCTCTCAACTCACATTCAATACAATAACCACCAAATATATATATACATATATACATATATATATATATATATATATATAAATAAAAAATATAATTAAATATAAAGAGTTGCGACCCAGAGGCTGAAAAACAATTCAATGATGTATAGATTCATTTTATGTATTTATAAATAAATACATACTCATTTTTTTTTTGTCAATTTTTCTGTGACTTCACATTTCTTTTCGAAACCCAAATGTACAGAAATGCGATGGCAAAATATTGATTTACATACATTTTACCGCGTGCAATATATGTATAACCGCTGTATTTAAGTACCAAGTAGCACACCTAATCCTGAAGTGAATCAGATTTCTGTCACATAAGACCGGGGAAGTAGCACCAGCGGCACACCTCCCGTAGTTTGAGAAACATTGATCCGAGTGTAATACTTTTTTATATAATGCTGAAACTCAGGAAAAAAAATTAAATAAATAAATAAAATTTGTACCAGTCCTGTGGGGCCAGTTTGAGTGGTTGATCAATGACACGGTACGGCACCGTGACACTCAGCGTTGTGCCACCAGGTTGTATCTGGTCTTTGCGCCTCTGCAGCAGAACCTCATTGTCACGCTGAATGCCACTTTTCTTCTTCTCTTCTGAAGTGACAAACCTGGCAACACACACACACATGTCCTTCACTCACTAATTTGGCAAACGCCTCGACGTCACTTCTTTTATTTATTTAAAAAAAAAAAAGTTTTAAAAATAAAAAATATATATCTCAAAAATATATGTTGTAATATATGCTTGTATATTGTCATACTTCAGATCCTGCAAAAGGTCCTTAGCGTTGAGCATCGTGATGAGGGAGGTGGTGGCAGCAGGGATGATGATGATGGGGGTCCGGGATCCTGTCCGGAAGGAATTTTTAAATTTTTTTTCAACAAAATAATCGGGATGAAAAAACAGCAACATATTTCAGCACTGTGGTCAGTGAATGTAGTTAGAAGTCGAGAAAACAAAACAAATGGTCAAAGATTCACTCTACCTTTCTTCTGATTTGGTGGAGGTCTGGCTTGTGAAACTAGAAAGAACAAAAAAATAATAAGAGAGATGGAAATGTCAAAAGCAGAAAAAGTAACAGCAATTTCTCTTCAGGGAAAATAGACCCAGTAGGTGGCAGTAATGCAACTAAAAGCAAAGCATTTTTTTTGGTGATTTAATGATTATTTAGGTGGAAATGTGTAACGTGTTCATATTGAGGCAGGCAAAGTTCGATGTTAAACCATCTCTGATCCCTGAAAGGGAAGTAACACTTACATCAGCATCATTTTAGTCATATCCAGTCATATCTATTTACTTCCTTTATTTAAAGATAAACTGACGAAAGATAATCTAATTTTAAAAACAATGTATTTCAGACTCTGATACAAACAGAATAGAGTCTAAACGATGGTTGTTATTTTACTGATTATAAAAACTTAATTATTTAGGTGAAGAAACTCTGCTGCATGGATTTTACTAAATGATTTTTTGAAGCTCCCGCGGGCCACACGAAACGGCTTAGTGAACCGCATTTGGCCCACTGACGAAAGATAATCTAATTTTAAAAACAATGTATTTCAGACTCTGATACAAACAGAATAGAGTCTAAACGATGGTTGTTATTTTACTGATTATAAAAACTTAATTATTTAGGTGAAGAAACTCTGCTGCATGGATTTTACTAAATGATTTTTTGAAGCTCCCGCGGGCCACACGAAACGGCTTAGTGAACCGCATTTGGCCCCTGGGCCTTGAGTTTGACACGGATGCTCTCATGATTTGGTCAAATACCGACCTGGACGAGGAACTGGCTGCAGGGCTGGAGTCCGAGCCCTTCGAGCCGACGCCCCTTTCTGAAAACACAACAAACCGAAGCCGTGTCACTGTGCATACCATCCCTATAAACAAGGAGATTACTCCATATATAAACAACAAACAGCAGGAAGGACAGAATTTCGACCACAGGAATGCAAACTCGGTGGAAAGAGGTTTCCACTTTTAACAAAATAAAAGTAAATGACAAAAATGATTACTTGTCATAACTTAATAAAATTCTAAAATCCAACATAAAAATGAGACTCTTTTTTTTTTCTTTTTGTGGTCAGGTAGGACAATGTAGGTTAAGTTTGTGTTAAGAGACAAGATGGTGAAAATGGGACAGTTTCTATTTTAAGGCTTTGACCTCGTTAGAATTTTTCACGGCAAAAATATTTAATTTTTTTTTTTACTGAGAGATGCTCTTCATCTTCACGGTCAGTGATGCATTAAAGACGCTGTGATGTCACACTGGGTCTCAGTCTCACAGTAATCCATCATTCAGCGTGAAGCTGAAACAACACGAGATGGACTAAAAAAAATGAACCACAACCAAATATTTCCAAAGGATTAATACGTATCCATACGCCGCCAAACCAGACTGCTACTATTGTAACTATTGTCCTTCAACAAATGTTTAAATAATAATAATTACATTTATTTGTAATAATAAATTTAACATTTCGTTAGGGTTGTTTTGACACCATTTTTCACTAACTGATTTTCCCCCATTTGTGTACCCTCCACTACTAAGCACCCTAACAAATAATTCTTTATGTTGGGCTGAATAAATATGCAATGAACTGGGAGGCAGTGTTATGTAGGTGGCACAGCTCTGTGGTGATAGAATGATATGACGTGTCTAGGTGGGAACAAGCTGAGCCACAGTGACGGTAACAGGACGTTTTATTGTATTTTCATCAACAGTAGGCGGTTTCTACCCCCCCAAAAAAAAGTGACTCGACGGTAAGCAGAGTGATACTTAGTCGGAGCAGCGTTCAAAATGACACGCGATGTTGGTTGAATAAGTCTAGGTGAGTTGCTGCTGTACCATTTTCCCGAGACGAGACACTAGCATTTTTAGCGCTGTGGCACTTCTTCAAAGGTTTTGTTAAATTGTCATAATTGTCATAACTGAAAAAGAGATAATACAGCTTCAAAGCTACGTCGACACAGTTTCACAGGTAAAACGGAATGAGAACAAAGTACGTACACTGTTGCCGTAGTTTCCTCCCCCCCCCACCCCGGCCACAAATTCGAGTGACACCTCAGAGCCGTGAAAACTATATTTTGACCTGCACACGTAACTAACAGAAGAGGGCGCCGCAACTTAATAATAAATAATAGCACCCACTGCAGCAGAGACGTTTGGCTGAAAACATGTTCACAGTAAGCAGGACATTTTGCATTATTATTTCGCTTAAATCCAAAAAACAAAAGGTATCGATTTGTCCATTAAAAAAAAAAAAAAAAAAGTGAATGCAAGTGAAGTGTTAAGCTGGAAGGATTTATTTGTATGCTTATCTTTAACTGCGGGGAAACAGAGCGGGGGGGGGCGGGCATTTATGGTTCAGGGACTAGAAAAAGGGGGATGCTGAGCTGCACATGCACCGTTTGCATAAATCTGAATTCAATAGGGGAAAATATTGTGGCTAGGGAAATCCCCCTTTTTTCACAGCAACAGCATGAGAAAAAGAGACGTTTCTTTTTTTTTTTTTTTTATTACTCTTTGCCATGCTGAGACACAACAACACTTAGGTTGCAGCCCAAACTGGTTCCTGCCTCCCTGTGTACAGTGAACAGCAGCACAGACGGCGTGACGTCCGCATCAAGCCACAGAGCCCCCAAACTGACGTTCAGAATGAACACATAAAGACAGCAATGGCTGCTGTTTATCTCCACCCCCCGCTGCCCTTAGCATTCTAGACCTCTCACAGAGAAAAGACGATGGGCTGAATGAGGAAGCGAGGAAGAAAAAAAAAAAGAAGAGACAAAAAAACAGGGAATCAAGAGAAGTACTGGGGGCTGGGAGGTGGGTGAGGGAAGACAACATGCGAGCACGTGAACCAGATGAAGGAGCTGCGTAGGAGGAGACGAGCAGCGGCATTAAATTTTTAAAAGAAAAGCAGGAGGATGGATCGCTGGAAGAACCTGGTCAGAGCAGGACTGTGTGTTCACTTTGTGCAGAGCAGAGAGGACTGCAGCTAAATATTCAACTGCCCACTTCTTTTTCTTTCGGCGGCGGCGGCGCCGTCAGCAGCACAGCAGCTCATTAGCATCTAGCCCCCGGGGACAATGCAGCAAACACAGAGAGACGGCGACACTGGATTGGAGACACATGATCTGTTGCATGAAGACATGCATGCCCTGATTATTTCGAGCTCTCGGGGGGAAAAAAAAATTCCATTTGCAGGTGACGAAGCTGCACCAATGGAGGATGCTGATCTGGTTTTGTCACGTGTCAAATTAACAAAGATCGAGGTTGGATATGATTGCAGTGTCACTAGTGGTGAGCAGGGACATGACATTTCTCCTCATCGCATCATGCAGCAGTGACAGCAAGCCACGAACAGAGTTGGATTGTGATGCGTAAGTGTTTTTTTTTTTTAATTTATTCAAAACCGCAACCTGCCCAAGATTCTTCACACTGCAAAAAAAACCCAAAAACAATCTGTTTTCTCTGACAGTAAACAGTTTCTGTTGATGTCTGCGAGAGAGGAAGTGACTTTTTAGGGCTTCTGTGAGCTCTCACAAACCAATCTTTGTCTTGCTGGGGTTCTTTAAGAGGGCACTGTGCATTCAGTAACACTCTTCACTTCCTGTTGAAATCAGCACGCCAACAGATTTATTTCGTGTGTTCATTTACTGCTATGCTCTGAAAAACACAATAATTGATCTAATTCAATGTATTACAACTCAGAATTAAACACAAAATCGTTGACTTGTTGTGAAGAGCAATACTTCAGGGCAGTGCTGGCTCTATTTCAAATTTTTTTTTTTTTTTAAAAAGTCGTAAGTGTTGTTATTGTGATTGCATATTCTATTCTTTCGTTTTCCAGAAATTCAAACGCTGGTTTACAGGTTCAAAGGGGAAACCTTCAAAGGTGAAATCTTCAGCTTCAAAGTCTCCGTCATCAACTGTTGACAAGAGACCTTGTCAGCCTACCCAACTCGAGCGCCGTAGGGGAGACCACACCATGCAGTGGAGACGACGCCACTGCTGTGCGCACATAGTCAAAGCTCTCTCAGTGCTCGGCGTGTTGGTCTTTCTGGTCCACCAAGTGTGGCAGCCCAGGCTAACAGGCATGCCGTGGTGGAAAGGCCACCCAGTGGTGTTTGGAGGAGACGGACTTCAAATCTCCAAACCTACAGTCAACAGCAGTTCTAAAGATGTCATATGGAAATCTGTCATCGTTCCACAGGAGACAGTAAAAACAGATTCAAATGTCTCCCGGGAAAACGAAATCGATTTAATCGAGAAAAACACGACGAGCAACAGCAGCCAAAACGCGGAGAGGAATGCGAGAAGCGCGGGTAACGGATTCTTCCCTTATATCATCAATGAACCAGACAAATGTGCCAAACTGAATTCTCCATTTCTGGTTTTACTGGTGACTACTGAAGCTCGGAAGGTAGAGGCTAGGAACGCCATACGCGAGACCTGGGGAAGGCAGAGCGCTTTCCAAGGTCTGAGGGTTATCCGGCTGTTCTTGCTGGGGAAAACCGAGGGTGAGCTAGGACTTATTCAACAAAAAACACTTGCCACAGAGAGCCAGAGGCATCACGATATCATCCAGCAGGACTTCATGGACACCTACAAGAATTTGACTATCAAAACAATGATGGGAATGAAGTGGGTAGCAACGTTCTGCCCACGCGCCAGCTACGTCATGAAGACCGACAGCGACATGTTTGTCAACACCGAGTATCTGATTTATAAGCTTCTTAGGCCCGACCTGACTCCCAAGAAGAACTTCTTCACAGGGAACAACATGAGGAACTTCTCACCCAACCGCAATCAAGACAGCAAATGGTACATGCCTCGCGACTTGTACCCAAATCCGAGGTATCCGCCGTTCTGCTCCGGGACTGGTTACGTTTTCTCCGGAGATTTGGCGATGAAAATCTACCAGGTGTCTTTAACTGTCCCTTATTTGCATCTGGAGGACGTGTATGTGGGAGTATGCTTGGCCAAACTTCAGATTGAGCCCACGCCGCCACCAAACGAGTTCCTGTTCAACCACTGGAGAGTATCCTATTCGAGCTGCAGGTACAGCCATCTGATAACGTCACATGGGTTCAATCCCAACGAACTACTGAAATACTGGCATCACTTGCAGAACAACAAACACAAAGCATGCCTTTACCTATATAACAAGAAAGCTTAAGCGGGATTAAATTACAACGAGTGAAAGAAGTGGACAAACGATCCTGGGCGACTAAAAAAAAAAAAAAAATTCCACCAGCAACAACACAACAGTTGGGTATTTTGTGTACAGTCTGTATCATTCCTCAGATGAAGAAAAGACAATTTTGGTGAGGCTGTACAATAATCCGATTTTTGGTATGTGGTGATGGTGAATTACTTGAGCAAATATTCCGTAAATACATTTAAAAAAAATAAAATAAAACACAACATATTGCTTTTTAGTTGATCGTCTCTTTTGAGTCAAATTCTGTATAACTGCTACGAAGGAAGCGTCACAGCAGGAACGTCTCATTCGTATAAGAAAACACCGGGTCTCCTCGGGTTTCAAAAGTAACTTTCTATGCGTCCCCAGACCAGTGTATTTTTAATTTTAAAATATTCGAGGTACGTTAAGATTTTACAATACTGTTTTCCTAATAACAGTTCTTATGCTTCATTACATATTACTAATCATTTCAAAAATATATTTTTTTAAAAAACCCTGTGAATTTCTTTATTGCGGGATGAACAGGGTACTTTTAATAACTTTAATAACAAATTTCCCCCGGACGATATATTGGCCCTTCGATTATTGTCAATATTGACCAAATTAATCGCTAATATAATGACAATATAGTATTATAATGCAAATACACCCTAAAAAAATAACATGAATACCCCTGTGACAATAACAAATTTCCCCCGGACGATACATTGGCCCTTCGATTATTGTCAATGTTGACCAAATTAATCGCTAATATAATTATAATATAGTATTACAATGCAAATACACCCTTTCAAAAACAATAAACTTTTTTTTTTTGAGTACTTTTTCAACATTGTAATTAGAACGCCGAGACCATTTAGATATCATTTTTCCTCAGCTGGGAAAACTGGGTCAGGCACGTTTTAGGTTCGGTTTCATCACGTGTTAACGGAGTGCGTGAAACGAAAATCTGATAGCTAGACAAAGATATTGGCTGAAAAGGTGAGCTATCTAAGATCTCGGTGCATTTGCCTTGGTGTGTATTTGGATATGGGGAGGAGATTAATCCAGTGAATTGATTTGGAGACGTCACACACAGGACCAGCTACGTCAAATGTAACCCAAGATTTAAACGATGAAAACTTAAACCTTTTGCTTTCTTTTTTTTTTTTTTTTATTCTTGAATCAACTCTTTGGAACAATAGAAGTAGAGAGTGCTTTGCTTCCACATCCTTCCTGTGTGTCGCTCCAGTTAAACGGTAACAAGAACCAAGGTGTTATGACAGGTCACTGCAGTGAAGCGTTTGAGCAGAACTACAGACAGGAAACTTACTTTTAAGACATTTTAAATGCCGCTAGAACTGTATAGACCCTATATCTATAGCTAATATATTTCTACCTACTTACGTTTACTTACGTTGTGCGTAGTGGAAAAAAAAAAAAACAACCTTGCATTAACTAAGGCTTTGCAGAGGATGTAAAAACAAACAAAGTTTTGGGTCTTACCGTCACTGATTTCAGAGTCATGCCGTGGTAGGTTCCCATGGTATCAATCTTGAAGCCCTCGGTTTCTTTTAATTAAAAAAAAAAAACATCTATAGTGAGTTTGGGCTGTAAGTGGATCAAATATACTTTTACATCTTTTCACATATTGATGATAATAGTAATATTGATACTATCAGAACCAGTGACTTATTTTTCATTCATAGTTTTCCTTACATATTCAGCATATGGCTACATGAACTATCCAGGTAAGACTTGTTACACTACATTTCTGCATAAAATGGATGGTTTCTATAGAGATAATGACGTCATCAGGATGTGAATTTGATCAGGCATGAAACCACTGAAAATGTGGTGAGAAATACACAGTACGCCACTAATACCAAACTCTTTTTTGAGGCTGAAGAGAAGAGAACGTACCCTCTTTTCCTTTGAATCTTTCCTGGTCGTATCTGTTGTAGGCCGCAGGGACCGGCTGCTTATTTCTCAAGGACGGGTCCTGGAAAATGAAAAACCAGAAATCATCCAGTTGTTTAGCGCACTGTTTCCCCAAAGACTGGGTCACGACCCTCAGGTGGGTCGCAAGAGATTTTTTTTGGGGTCGTCTCGCCAATCATGAAAACTGTGATAGTAGGTCACAATTTTTTTTTAAATATTAAAAAATATATATATATTGTTAATGATTCATGTATGCTATGGCCTGTACTTTATATATATATACATTTTATTTTTTTTAACATGCAGGTGTAACATTAGTTCAATGCAACAATCGTTTATTTATAACAGTTATTTACTTTTCTCAAAACTATAATTTTTTTAACACAGGAGCTAGTACCTGGGAAATGTTTTGTTTTTTACTTAAGATGCATTAATCTTCAATAAATGCATTTACATGAGTATTTATTTAAATTAAGACCCTGTGTAATTAGTTTAATATTGCAACTTAATTAAATACGACTATACCAGAGATTTAAAAGAATCAATCTTCAGAAAAAAATATTATTTTTTTTTTTTTAAATATTAGGAAGACGTATTAGGTAGACGCCAAGTAACATTTAAATGTAAGGTAAAAGTAAAAGACTATTTTTTTTACCACTTGAGTCGTGCTCTGTACTGGTCTCTGTTCCGGTGCCCGCCCCTCTTCTCGGGCCTTCACTGACTGAAGAATAGCAAATATGTTTTTGGAGAAATTCTGAAAAGAAAAACATGGACATTTAGTTTTTTACAAACACAAAACATTCAATTTTGCTCAACTCAGCTGTCTTCTAAATGTGCAGGATTAGGGTTACTTTGGCATGCATAAATATCTCTGAACCAACGCTGCCCTCTTGTGGACATGTATTGTAATAATATTTTTTTAATTTTATTTTTTTAAATCAGGTCAGGTAAAATTGGCTTGTATGGATAACTATGTAATATTAAGGATTTAGAGAAATTTAATCACACTTGGAGCCAGATATTACATGACATGTTTAAGACCCATAGTATCTAACTAGTTCTATACATAATGTACGCAATATCTCCAATGAAAATTCTTTAAATGTGTACTTGATGAGATGAAACTTGAGGTACTACTACTAGTCTACTTAGGTTTTTTTTTTTTTTTTAACAGCAACTGGAGGTCATTTGCTTCAGATAAACTCTGACCTTGCCAGTGCTCTGGAGAATGGTAGTCCTGGTTCTCCACACTCTCTCCCTGCTGACAATGTCTCGAGTGACATCGACCTCCGCATCCACAAAGCTTCTCTGCTTCAGGGTTATGTCGTCATCCAGATCTGTTTTGATGGTGGAACGTTTCTTAGCCATGATTTTGGCTTTGATGGCAGCGATTTTCTCCACTGACATGGCCTCGGACAGAGACCTGCACACGGAAAAGGGTGATGGACCACCCAACAGCCCAAGTTGGTAATTACAGACACCAGAATTTTCAGTTAAATCTGAGCGACAAATACAGTTTGAAAAGATGTGTGTGAAATCATATTGGCCATTATGAACATAATAAGAATGTGAATTCTGGAAATCTGTTTTTTTACCTGATCTGGTCAGTCTGCACAATGCCCTCTTTGTGGCCCTCCAGACGGGCTGCCAGACGTTCCTTGTCGAGCCGCACGCGTTCTTCATCCTAGAGTTGAGATCACAAAAACATCTATATTGTAGACTGGTCGTTTCATTCATTAAAAACTTGATTTCATTTCTGATCTGATCTGAAGTGAACCAAGAACAGGTTAGGGAAGTTTGAAAATTTGAATGTGGAGGACATCTAACAAGAATTAGGGAAGTTCAAATTTGAATGTGGAGGACATCTAACAAAAACACAGCCAATTTTGATACCAATAACTAATTACTTTAATTTCTTTTTCCTGTAGTGCAGTTTCTTAACTCAAAAATGTTCAAACTAGGGGGCAGGAACCCATGTAGGGTCACCTGGATTTCAAATGGGGTGCTTCTAATGGTCATTCGGTCTTTGTTGTTTTTTTTTTATTTCTCTATTGGCTTACCTCAATTCTTGGTTTTTTGGCTTCAGAAGACACCTCATCGGCCGCTCTTTTCACTGAGAAAAAACCCAAAGTAATTATTATAAAAAAAGCTGAATGAGCAAAAAAAAAAGAAGAAGATAAAACTGACCTTGAGTTGGCCTTTGCAACCCAATTTCTATAGGTGCACTTCTGTCGATACTCGATGATGTAGCTGTAATTAGACAACATTACACTGTTATTTGCTGAAAATTGGTATAAAACTAGTTCTAAAAAAGTACTCAAGGGATTAAAGAAGGTCAATTTAGCATCAAGACAATTCAAATAAGAGCTATTTACCATTGTCGCCACTGAGATACAACAGCAACCCCTTACGGTCCGGTCGGCGGACAACAGGGATGTTCTCTGTCTAAACAACAGCACAGACAAACTTACGAAATGAAAGTTGAGGAGAAACTTGAGGTGAAAAGTTACTTACTGCAGCTCTTCGGACATAGGATGGATGCGGGAGGTGGACATTATTCAGCAAAAACAAAATAGAGTCCAAAGTGTAGTACTCTTTGGGCTGGCCTTCCTTACCAGTACTAGGAAAAAAGAGATTGCAAAGAAACATTTAGAACCCAGGTTTTTACTCTGTCATATATTACATGGAAAAATAAATCTGTCAGATGACGATGAAAGGATGTGATCTGTATTTAAACGTCTTTTTTTTTAAAAAAAGTCATGCTTCAGGACTTATTTGAAGAAATACTAACTATTGCAGTAACTTTACACATTTAATTTTATTTATGTTATTTATTTAAGCTTTCTCCCTCGCAAGATTCTTTTAGTTCAAGAGACATTTTTGTTGAGAGCAGAAAACTTCTAATAGTAACAACATGTGTAAATCAATGTTTTGTTCAACAAAAGCATATGGTTTTTTTCTATTATTTTATCTAATTGTCATCAGCTATTCAGTTTGAGAGTACCTAAAAGCACAACTATTAAAGCTGAAAAAAATCTAAAACAGACAGGAACTATATGCAAACCTAAATATTTTCTTATTTATCACAGGTCATAACGTCATCACAATATATAAACAATAAAAGACTGGTTCTTCTCAACATCACTTACTCGGTGTCATTAACAATATAGCATTATATAGTTAAAATAGAAAAAACAGCACACAATAATAAAATATATTTCATAGCTTGTTCATAGAAGTTTAAAGACATTTTTCGAACGTTAGAAAAAATGTGTACGTTGTGACAACATAGCGCGGAAGAAAACGGTTCATGACCTTTCCGTCTATACACACTTGAGGAGTGCATGTGTTGTTATCTGGACATGGTGCTTAAAAACATTGAGCACAGTCAAGTCCCTCCCCTTGGTCCTGTGAACTTGTTTATAACAGCTCAAAACTAAAAATTGTCCCTTTGGAACTAAGCAGCACACCACTACTTCTTGTCAAGTGACGGTATGTTACATTAACAGATTTGAAGTCTTTCGAAGGAGGACTTAACATGTCGGATAGAAACGAATACCAGGAATTAGACTGAAAATTTCAGGAAAACTGACTACGCGAATAAAGTGTGTCAAAATTTCCTGTACATAATGTCAAGAAAGGTTGAGCTCACTATCCAAAGGTCATAATCCAAAGGTCATAAACCGACTGTATCATAGCAGGCTATAAATGATATGTAGCAGAGTTAGGTTAGCATTATCACTTAGCAGCAGCATTCTGTCGTTGAAAACAGCACAAGGTATCGGTTAGCTTTAGCTTCTCTGACACATGATAAACACTTATATAAATATGTGTTTGATATTGACATACCCCCAAATTATGTAGTTGGTTTTGACATTTTTTGGCCAAGAGAATTCCCCGAATATAACTTCCTCTCCTTTCGCGACGATTTCTTTTTTCTGGCTGTTGTACTGACGAAGAACACTTAACACATCCGCCATCTTCGCTTGTCTTCCAGTGGAGTAGTTGCTTCTTCTTCTACCTTGTATTTTAAGGGTGGGTGGGAATTTTTCTGTTGCTTTACTGCCCCCTGCTGGTGAGAGGTTTCCACTGCTCCCGTTGTTAAAACCAAAAACATGATCAGAACTTTTACTTAACATCAATTTTACTGTTCTAAAATATATATAGTTCTAGTAAGTATATATATATATAATGATATGTATTTTTAAAATATAAATATATTCATAAAAACGTGGAAAATGTAAAGGATTGTCAATTACTTTGGTGCCAACTTTAATCTGTATTTCTCATTTCAATTTCATTTGAATCAGATAATGCACGTATTTTACCCTAAAAAAAAAGGCCGAAACACAACAGAAAGATATGAATAAAAAATTAATTTATTATGGGATTACAAATGCTACTTCAAACTTGCAAAAATGGTAAGAGAAGCAAGTAGAGGAGGTATTGATAATATAATTGTCAACTTCCACCTTTATTTATGTCACTATAATATCATCTAATTGATATTAATTATTCACACACATTTTGTAGCTGTTGTCGTAGATCGTTATTGTTAAACTCAAGTGGGAAACAGAGCAAACATTTTGTATGAAATCCAGATTACATTCAAATCCATTAAATCCAAGTCGTGTAAACCTTGATTATTTTTAAGGTGAGCCTGACTAAAGAATGTCAAATAATAAAAAAATAGCAACTGCTTTAGCGAATACCGTAAATAAAAATGAACGCTCTTTACAGCTGCAAAAATACTTTTATTTAAATGAAAGAGCACGGCTGTTGGATTTAGCTTCAATGAATAATTAGCCCTCACACCAAAAACACTGCACACGGCTACAATTCTTCATCCTACTGTACGTTAAAAACACAAGGTATTGATCCGTCAATCTCTACTGTGAGGTGATTCACAAAAGTGCATTCAGTTCTCGAAAGGAAAAAAAAAAAGGTTTGTTAGTTTTTGAACAACAAATATAAATACATGAAAAGTACAGGCATCACTGGGAAAGCAGATTCAGTCTGGGTAAACAGTTGTTCAATAGCTATTGACCTGTCCTGCGTGAACGTGACAAAAAACAAACAAACTCATATTTACACTAAAACATGAAAATGTTGATTTCTTTAAATTACAGTAATCCACCATAACACTGCAGTAGTGTTTAATAAAGGGAAGTGTGTCGCTGGAGATATTTATGGCAAGTAAGAGCACAAGGAATTCTTCGTCGAATAATGTCTAAATTCAATAAAACGAACAAGTCGAATAATGTCTAAATTCAATAAAACATTTAGAAGAAACCACAAATGCAATAAAAAAAAACTTGCAGGCATGAAAACGGCAGTGACTTTTCAGCTCAAGTAAATGAAACCCTGACAGAATTAACTGTGAGTTGTTCTGTCGACCTTCAGTGCTTCTCTCCATTCATCTTTTCTTCTACCTCTTGTTCTATATAGCAGTGCTACATAAATCATCAAGTTTTTTTTTCAATTCAAAATAACGCTACAACTTCAAACTTGTAAAAGTGATAATTCAATATGTTAAAAAATACAGTCGCTTAAAAAAAAAAAAAAAACCCACGTAAAGTACGAAAATAAACCTGCAAACATGTTGCAATAACACAGTGAAATTACATGCAAACACAAAACAGAGATAAGGAAGATGATTAAAAAAAACTGGTATCACAGTGATAGGCGACAGTGAGAGTCAGGAACAGGAGATGGTTTTGATAAAGTTTTCCTTCTCTGCTGATGAATTTTGAAAGAAATGCACAAACACTACGTTTGTGACGTTCTGTCAAATTAGATTACATTAAATAGGAATATTCTCTAATAAACATGTACTTATGTGCATGAAAACAAAGGAGAAAAACAACACAGACTTATTGTTATTTATGGGTAATTCTGTTATTGTAGTGGATTGTAATGGTTGGTCTGATCAGACTGACATTTTCATCAAATTGCCTATTGGATGAGGATGGTCACATCCCCAGTGTCCCAACGGGATGTCCGCCCTGTGACTGTGATGTAACCCCCGTCAGGACCAAGTCTTAGTACTGTTATTTTGTGGAGAATTATTGTGTTTATCCGTATATAACGCAATTTAGTTCAGCATATTATGAAATAAACGTATGGTTGGAAAAAAAAGAAAAAAGAAAATGTGCGAACACGTTTCCAAAGTTTTTGCCCAGCCTGCTGGACACTGTCTGTTCACATCTGGGTGAAAGTACAATGGAGAAATAAAATCTGTAAATCTCAATATTTGGATTCGTGCTTTTTATAAAGCACCCTACATGCTACGCGAGACACGCTGGTCCATTTTTGCCTTTATTTTATGTAAATACAGGTTTTTTTTTTTGTTTTTTTTACCACAATTCGTCACTTCATTAGATCAAACCTTGAGCCAGGTTACGTATGACGCAAAAAGATCCGAGGTCAAAGCCGCACGTGCTTAATAATCCCCTGTCCTCTGTGTCCGCAAAGACGTGTCCACTGGAGCTCAGCCCGCACATCACCAACTTGGAATTGATTCCAAATTTCTGTGGGGAAACAAACAAAAAAAAAAAAACATTACAGTGACGTGCGTCGTTAAAAGTCAATCACAATTTTTGTCAAAATAAAACAAAAAACAAACATGAAATGAGTTGTTCATAAGAGTTTGACAAAATATGTGAAGAAATGTCGACTTTCAGAATGTATTTAGTTACTTTTAATCGCTATTCAATAATTATAACACATCTGTTTAGCAAATTTAATTATAATAAATTTGTTTAGCAAAACCTGTATATTCCCACTGACCTTTAACTCACCGTGGAACATATAAGAACAAAAACAGTGTTTGTGTCCGAGGTGCGTTCAGGTACCATCAGAAACATGAGAATCCGACCATTACGGCAGTGTGTTGTATGGTTCATGTATATAAAACAATATTATTTCATTTTTATCCTATCTCCCCTCCAATCTTCTGAGGCTCTCTTGCGCCCCCTGGGCAGATTATAATATTACAGAAACAATAAAAGAAAAAAAAATTTAAGATGAAACACAAAGCAAATTGAAAGTGCAACTTAATAAAGCATTGTAATAGCATGGTTTTTTTTTTCAATAAGTGAAAACAACCCATTTTAGAGAATGTTAAAAAAAAAAAAAGAAACGTACTTCTCGATGCTTTCGTAGGCAGTCTACTGGGCTGACGTTAAACATCCAGATCGGACTGTTGGTCAGAATGATGAACAGATCCACACTTTTTGCATTTTCCGTGGCCCAGATGATGGGGAGAGTGAAGTCCGTGCAACCGTCTGGAACCTGGGGGATAGAGATTCACGATGATGACACGGAGACAGTTTGTAACCATGACAAAATGATCCTCGATTTACGACGTCCTCTACCTATGGCTATCGCCGTCCCTTATAAATTTATTGAGAAAGTCCTAGTTCGTCATTCCGACGTACGACGTTAAGACAAACTTTGCACATACATTTGAGTATGCTGCATTCGCTTTCTTATGTTTGTGTTGATTTTTTTTGCCCTTCTTGATGACTCCCAAGCCTAGGTCAGACATCTTCCGATGTTTTTAGGTCCTATATTATGATGTTAGGGTGAGTTAGTGCCATAGGTACTTATGTACAGTAGGCAAATTTCTTTGCAGTTACATCACACGGAAGGAACAAAACTCACGTAAGTCAGTCAGGGAAGATAATGATGGAGAGCCAAAACAAACAAACAAAAGCAAAGATTTTTTTTGTTTTTGTTTGGTGTGCAACCAGTTCGCAGTTCTTACCTTCACCAGTTCAGTGGTCACCTGTGCGAGAGTCATATCTGCAGAGACGGAGCACGGAACCAACCCTTCTTTAGAGAAGACCAGAACTTGTGTATCGATGTCTGTCCTCGCAAAAATCTGCGCAGAAGAAAATCAACCGAAAAGAAAAAAAACATGACTATAGAATGACAAAAAAAAAAAAAAAACCACCTTCTCTCCTGACTACGAATGCTTTACACATGTGTGTGCGCCCATTATGTTGCTATAACAAATTCTAAGAGGTCATTATAGACCTTGTGGGAACCACCCTACGGTCATGTTACGACAGGAACTTGAGAGGAATCTGCAATATGTGGCAACGGGCCAACTCCCTGACCGAGGCCGTTCCGGCCCGTAGGTGCAGCTGTTCCGACGACTACCCATTGGGCTCTCCCCCTGCCTTACCATGGTAATGGCGGCAGCAGCAACGGCAGTGCTGATTGATGTTCCCGGGACGACGCTGCTCAGCGACGTGCTCACATCTACGGCCACCACAATGCGCTTCCCTACCGGCTCCACGTTCTGTTGAGAGGATCAGAACGGAGAGAGATGATTTGGTTCGTCTTTTTTCCCCGCTGCCACTGACTAGTACCTACCAAGAAATAAGGAATCCTACCGCAAAGCTCCTGTAAAAGGCGGCGTCCATTGCTTTTAGGATGTCACCGTCCGGCTTCCACTTGGTTTTACCCTGATATCCTTGCCCTCGTTTGTAGTTCTCCAAAGCCAACAGCATGCTGAAGGGGTGCATCCTTGCCTGGCAAAGTGTTGGACAGATAAACAAAACATAAAGGACTTACTCTCATTGTAAAATGATGAAAGCGATTGATCAAATCCACGGTCCTTCGAGCGTTACCTTCTTCAACGCCGTCTCGTTCTGGATTCGGTCACACAAAGCTCGGGTTTCCGAGCTCCCTGGTTCGAGAACGTTCTTTGATGTCATCTTTCCCAATATCTTCAGCACGGAGTGGAGAGGCATTTCCTTCAATAATGCTCGCCACACCTGGAAGCCAAGGAACAGAAAGAATTTAAATACGACAAAAAAATTAAAAAATTAAAAATCAACTGCAGATGTGATTATCTTATAAAAAAATCAACTGCAGATGTGATTATCTTCCATCATTTTTCTATCCCTATAATTAATATAAAAAATATCCATATCAATCATTCTTTTAAATGTAAACAGGGAGATTTCCTATGTCATGTAGACCACTGTTTCCTGAAAAAAAAATTTTTTTGGGTCGTCTCGCATCATGTTTCTCAGGAGTTAACGAACAATGTCTATTGACTTGAAACACTGCTGTGGGAAACTCACATAACGAACAATGTCTATTGAAACACTGCTGTGGGAAACTCACATTTTCAAATATCATTTTATCACCTTGTAGAGTTACAGAATTGAGACACGAAAAGAAACAACCCTTCAACACGTCATCCTCTGAATAGAAATTTTTCTTGCTCACATACTTATTGTACCTGTTTGGACTTCAGATGGTCGGTCAAAAGCTGTTCCCTCTCCAGTTTGTGCTCCTCTATCAGAGTGATGACCTCGGTTTCGTCGCAGCGGTGCTTCACCTTCTCCACCACTTCGAGGTAAGAAAGCACTCTGACAACCTCCTCCGACTTCTCCTTGTCCGCATAGGCAACTTGGACATCTTTCCATCCTTTCGTTGCATATTTGCTGATCAACGCAATTGCTGAGGACGTCCAAACGATTTGGAAAATATAGTTATTAAAAAAACAATGTAATGTTATTAAATATGTTCTGCTGTACTTTCTTATTGCTTCAGTGAAAAAATTCATACTATCTGCTACCAACTTAGTAAAAAATCAATATCTGGAAAATTAAAAATGCTAAATTATATTTTTCTAGAACAGGGGTGTCAAACTCATTTACCTCACTAGGGGGTGCCAAATCAGCAATATAAATCCCATACAAAATGACCTGGCGGGCCGCATTTGCCCCCCAGGCCTTGGGTTTGACACATATGTCCCAGAAGGATATTTGAGATGGCCGGTGTTTTAAAGTGCCTTACCTTCATTTAGTGGTTTAGTGTGCGAGAGCCTGAGCAGATCCTGGTGCGACCAGCCTTCTCTCTGTTTACACTTGGTCACGGCCGCAGCCAGATCAAAAGCATCTTGCTCATTATACCAGTCGGACACTGCCTTTCTGAGAGCGCGTCCCCAAATCCCACACTTCATGCCTTCTTTAAGTTCCTTCTTATACTGAATGAATGAAAACAGATGGTCAGGATTCCGACAGACCTCCTTCACGGCCTTGAACGCCGCCTGCTTTGTTTTCAGCTCGGAATATTGAGAGCAAAGGGCCAGGGCGAAAAGCGACGGCCCCGGTCGTACAGCTGTACCATCCCGGGAGAACCTCTTGATCTCTTCCACCGCCTCGGTCCCTCGACCTTCCTGCAACAAGGAGAGGAGAGCGCCGGCGTTCTCCGCGCTGCTGTGATCCTCCTGTCGAGCAGCGTACACGTCCCGTTCAGAGCCGTAGCACAGGAATCGACACAGCTTGACCTTATCGTTGACCTCCCACGGACAACCACCTGTCAAGTTCTTGTTGTGGTCGCTTGACGGGTCTATTGTAGAACTTCCCGAAGGCTCCATGGTAACGCAAGACCTAAAATGGAAGGCATTCTTCATTCGAGTGCACAGCTGCTCAGGAAAGCTAGACTTACCATGATGTAGCAGGTGAAACAAACATGATTATGCAGTTAGTCAATGACTTACTGGTTAATTAGGAATTAGGAAACGATTATTCATCATCATTTATCATACAGCCCCACTATAACAACGACATTTTATGTTCAAAAAGGTTTATCAAACCACAGAAGGTATTGCTATTATCCATCATTGTGATTCAATATGGCGGCTTGATAAAGTAAAAATAAACAGTAAAAATACTCATTCTGACGCAATACTAATTTTAATAACCCCAGGGCAGAACTACTTGTTTCCAAAATATATATTTACGTGTTAGTAGTGTATTTAAATATAAATATGTGTTCCAGGGGTTCATTAATGAAGTTATGTTATAAAGTTACAGTAGTACTGACAGCGGACACACCCATTCTGCTTGTGACTAACGTTGGACACGCCCGCTGCAAGAGATACGAGCCCAGTCTACATTCTTTATACATATTTGTAGAAAATAAAAATAAAAAATGAATTAAACAGTGTTGGACTTTATACTTAGTTCAATCCCCAGCTGCTAATGAGCTTAACGTCATTTATTATTCTAGTCTGCTAACTTAGTTCGGCTAACACGGAGGACGAATTAATTGATAGACGGCAGGCTAAAGCGAGTTAAAAGATGTTATTTCTTTGGTTAAAAGACAGGAAGCTGAGTGGTGGAAAAATAACTCGCCAACTTGTCTTGTCTCTAAGCTCCATCTCCATCAAGCTATTAAGTCATCTCGCCGGGATTTGATGCTGCTCGCCCGGATAGAAAAACTATCCCTTCTCGCTTCAGCTCCAACGTTGCCCACATTATAGCAGAGTTATTGTTAATAGTCTACGGCCTCCAGTGACACTAATGTAAACATATGAACTTACCACAGCGTACGCGCACAGTGTTGAAGTTGGTGATGTTGCTTAACGCGAACAGACAGACAGGCCTTTGCTCTAAACCGCAGACAGCTGAGCTAACCCGAGCAGGGGCCGCAAAGGATGATGGGATAACGAGTATCAGCACTTCATACTTCATTGATAAATAGGCCTTTCCCCTACCGAATTAACCGATAAAATACATATTATTTTTCAAATGATAAAAGTTTAAAATAAAAAAAAACAAAAACTGTGGTTTAAGACTTCTGATAAATAAACATTGTAAATAATACAACTTCCTCGATTTTCGAATGCGTTGAAGACATGGCTCCTGCAGTGTAATTACCTTTTTCACCACACGACGGCAGCATTGTACCAATCCATAAATCATGCAGCTTAGTAGGACTGGACGCTGGTCAAAAATCACACTGAAAAATGAAACAGATGTAAACTTCTTTCTGTTACAGGACAACTTAGCATTCAGCAGTTTGTTATTGTTACTTTTTTAATGTAGTTTTTAATTAATTAATATTTATCTAATTAAACTTTACTGGCTGATAATGACAATAATAATCATCATAAAAATAAATAATAACATTCTACGACACATTCTAGTTCTAGAATCCATAAATAATAAATAATTTAAGATCAAAACATCCAAAAAAAAAAAAAATTCAGACTTCTGTTCTGTTGTGGAGAGTGCTTCAGCAGAATGCAGTGCAGTTGGCTCTTATGATTTCAGTGACACAGCTTTTGTCCTTGAGTCATCGTCAAGTTGCTGAGGTGACATTTTGAAGTAAGGGAAGAGTCTTCTCTGCCTCGGGCCTCTTCATGTGAACGCTGCAACAAGCCAGAGCTCTGTAATACTCAGATTGAATGAAACCGGGTAAGGAGCCGTCCTCCGTCAGCCTGTATAATATTTTTTTATTATTTATTATATTCCTGTGTAACGAGAAAACTGTATGGAACGGGCTGCAGGAGTATCTCTCTGGTGTATATATCCTGGTTATGTCAAGGAAAACAAGCAAGTTATTGGACCTGTACTGTACCTGTACTGAAATTGTGTTGCACACATTGCACAACGTGTGCGGTTACTTGCATCACTGTCGGGGTTCACAAAGTGACTGTAAAAGACTGTGTTCTGTCGTGAGCATACAGTGTAAATAATGGATTTTGCTGCCAAAGAGTCACTGTTTGTATGTACGTTTTGGAACTCGACATAAATCCTTACTACTCTCATAGTCAGCTCCTCTCTCTCTCTCTATATAAAAAAATATATATATATATATATAAACATCAAGTAGATATGTGGGAAGAGATCACAAAGTATTTGCATTTTAGTGCAAATACTTCGTGCTGCATGATGGCTTGAACCAGATTAGGTCATCACATGGTGGAAAGTTTTTTTTTTTTCCTCTCCTTTTTCCTCTCCAAACAAACCTTCTCTGAAACGGTCTGCATGCGACAACTCGACTGGTAGTTGCCCTAGTGATGCCAGAAAGACCAACATCATTACCTCAGTCATTGGCTCTGTTTATGGAGGAGCTGTATTACAAATGCTGTTAATTCAACTGATCAAATGGTTCTTACCTGAAATTGTAATTTAGGACTCAATCATAGATAGGAGTTTATCGTCACTAAATCAAGCGTATGTGTGGTCCAGGAGGCAGGACACAGTGACTCTCAGACATGCAAATCCAGTATGGAAATGCGGGCATGATGCACAGCTAAAAACAGGTACACAAGGATTAAAAGAAATCAACTATTTCTGCAGAACAAACAAGATTGTCCAAAGGTTGATGGGAAGGAAGGGCTATCATGTGACCCATAACTTATTTTTAAAATATTTTCCTTTATAGCATTCCTGGGAATTAATTCTTGCCCATAATTACCCATCTTCTTGATTAGGGTATCTTTATACATATCAAAATACTTCTGCGCAAATAAGGTAATAAAAAATGATAATCCACCATCGGCATGTCCATGTGGCTTAAAACTGCAGCTGAAGATGACAAAAGTGTGGATAAGCTCTAAAACTACATTTTAAATCCTTCCAATTACAAACTTTCTTTTTTGTAATATTAGGTTTTATTACCAAATTACCAGGTAATAGCATTAAAATGTCTGAAGCTTTTTTTTTTTTTTAATTCTCATCTACTTCAGGGGGTGTGTGCGTGTGTGTCTTTTGGAAACAGAAATGAAGACAAAGTGCAGAAGTTACTGCCATTTCAGATTCCCACAGACAAACTTCCTCTTTTAGGGTTTTTGTGATTTAAATAGGGTTATTCGTTTTTCCCTTTCTGAATCGTTCAGAAGAATTAGTGAAGATATACTCTGTTCCTACACTGAAAAAGTTTCAATCAAACTAAAAGGCAGTATGAGCCTGAAAATCAAACCTGTCTTCCTCCGCTTTTCTCCAACTTTTTTGACATATGGCAGAAGTTCCCTAAGTTGTTCATGCCTAGTCCTTAGCAGCATTAGCTTCTAGTCTGCAAACCCCCAGACAATGCTACAAAATGTGTAACGTACCATTTTAGAATGTATTTTCTTACTTTAATTCACTATTCCATAATTATTACGTTTGTTTAGCATAGGAAAATTATGAACGAACATGTTTTCAGCGCTGTCAAAAACCCGTTAGTTAGCTACACGATAGCTTGAGGAGCAGAGTAGCTAACCGCCATGTCTAACCGGTTATGACGTTGTCAAGCAGAAGTTGTAACTGTCACACAAGGTGCGTTCATGTACCATTGGAAACTTGACAATCTGACGATTACAGCGGTGTTATATGGTTTAGCTGTATATTTGCACAATTGAAACTATTTACATTTCAGCAAGTTTAGAAATATTTTGTCCAACTTAAACTAATATTAGAACATTCAGATTTTTTGGGCTATTTCTAAAAATTAAGAACAATAACTGAACAAATGGAGGAAGGAAAGATAGTAAAGAATAGTACAGACTTGTGTTTTTAGATCTGAAAACAAATATTTAATTCATTTTGGCACAAGGTATTTACAATGTATATAAATAACTTTATACATATTTAAATTTTCTAAATAAAAAAAAACAAAACGCAGTGATTAATCAACCAATACTCACATACACAATGTTTTCACATTAAGGATCAGGACTTAGTTTGGGCTGAGGGATAAAAAACTAACTTCAAACAACGGCAAACGACTAAAACATAGCTACATGTATAATGTACCGTATTATCCGGACTAAAAGTCGCACTTTACTTCATCCTTTGGCTGGCTTTGGGACTTCTACTCAGGTGTGACTTATATATTCAAATATACAAATTGAGTAAAGGTAAGATAAAAACACGAAACTAGTAGCACAAAAATAAAGGTTATCAAGGCGTTTTAAAAAAGTGAGAACAAAATGTATTGGACAACATTTTGCCTTTTGAAGTACGTCTCAGAAAAAGCCCCTAGTATTTTTTATTAGTCTGCACAGTTTGCAGTTGCATCATCCGCTGATCCGAGTGCAATTTGTTGCATCATCCGCTGATCCGAGTGCAACCTCGTCACGAAAAGAAGAAAGTCCAGCGATTGACGCATCACAAGCAGACACCCTGTCTGTCCCACAGTGTTTCCAGCGCTTGGGTGTCCGCCTCTCGGCCTCTACGTCTTCACTATTTTATCGTGGAGTTCAGGAGAGCCTGGTAAATGTCAGATTTGATGAATCGCGGGTAAGAGTCCTTCTCCATTAGGGCGTAGACGATCCTCTGAGCGGCGTCGAACGACTCTGTGGTAGGTGTTTCGAGGTTTCGCCTGATCACTTCCCTGGTCCTCTGGTCAATGTTGATCTGTGAGCAAACGTGGGTTAGTTTCTCTATAGTCAGAAAACAATCGAATCAAAAGTGCAGGGCGTCTCTCGTCACCTCTCTCGGAGCTTCAACTTGTACGTAGCGTTTAAAGATCTTTCTGGCCCTGCAGGACATCCTCAAGGAGGACTTGATCTTCTTGAAGTCCTCACACACCAGCCAAAACTCGATGTTTTCATCACTGAACTCCGACTTTAAGAAGGCCTGGAATATTTTCATCCCATCTAAAAATAAAAAACAAAAATTGTTAAGAGAAGGCCGGATTACAAAAATACTATACACGGATAATGTTTTTCATGAGCTCACATTTGGACGAGAGAAGTGCCTCCAGCGAGTGGGACCACTTAGAGACCTCTTCCAAACAAAGCCTGTAAGATTAAAAAAAAAAAAAA